GCTGTTCCCTGATGCCGCAACAAAACACTGCGGTTATGTCAGTCGGACAATGTTACATGATTCTTAGGTCCATGTGAGAAAAGCAATTCATTTTCCCCGACATGTTTACCTTAACTGGTTCATAATTTAATCTCGCTGATTACATACAAAACAAACACCCTAGTATCTATCAACCTAAGTTTGAAATAATGACATGCTGCTTCCCTTACAACTGTCGTGTATTCATATATCAAAAAGATATAACTTGTTAAAACTGTTTTAAATGTTCAAATTAATGACATTTTATGTGAAGTTGAAATAAATATTTGTGTGACAAGGTGATTAACTTAACAAAAGCACACTAATATAATAACCTTGCAACTACTGCAAGAGACAAACTTCATATATAGAATACAGTTAAACCAAATGAAAAAAGGTTAATAAACAGTACTTAAGAATACTTGTTATTGACCATCAAATATGAGTGGCGTTTCACTGCAAGTATGGTGTTTGTACAGTTTAATGTGACTTAACCTGCAATAACCTGCTGGATTTCGAGTACATCTTCATCGTCGAGGCACATATTTCAGAAGATCCTCTAGTTTAGTGATTCATCATGATGCAAATTCATAGAAAAGGGTGATTTTATGTTCCATTTTATGGTAAAGTTATGTTGACAAAATGCAATGAAAAGAAAATGTGCAGTAACATTTCCAGTCTTGAATGTGAGATAAGATTGATATCAATAACATGAAATAAGTCTTTTTAATTCACTACTGAACATGGATTAGCGTGCTCTTAGCTCCATGTAATAATATTGTAGGAACACCATACAGACCACAAGTCCCCAGCTTAGTGAGCTAATGCTTAAGCCAATGGACTTGCCCAATGCTGTATAGGGAATTATTCGTAAGGAGAGTTAAAACACTCGTTAATACTACTCAACTTTGATAGGGATAATGAAACATGTTATACTGTTATTAAACTCCAAGGACAACAAGTGGCAATATCTACTCATGTCAATCTTAAACGTCAAATAAAGCTGAAAATATGACAGCTCCATGGCAACATAATATATTATTCCTATGACCTTGTCTCCAATCAATCTGTTACATTCAGTCTCCACTTGAATTAAAATCATGATCCCTTTCAAAAGTTGAGTGGCATTATTCATAAAACCCATACATACTGAAATGTTTAACAGACATAATTAATTATTAGGGGTAAGGAGTTATTTACCACCAGCCATTGATCAATTAACCATTAAGTGGGTTAAAAGCCATTTCAGGTAATTTGCCTTAACAGGTTTAGGTGTGAAAATTCCATTTGTCATAAGTCATTTTCGTAAATCGCTAGTTACAGATGTGAAATTAGGAACACAAGTAAAAGTATGGATTCAGTTCGTAACTGGAACAGAATATTTAGGGATATCGCAAGCTGGAAGCCGTCAGCAAAGCTAATCAGCAACAATTTAAAGCTAATCAGCAACAATTTGAATAATGCTTCAAGTTATGATAAGATGATATAAACACATATGGTCTTCTAGTGTTGCATGAAACTAAAATAATGATGTGATAACCTTGTGTTACCATGACACAGGTCTGTTATATGCAAGTCATTCTTTAATTCACTGGGACAGAAGGCTGTGACTAATCAGGAAACACACATACAAGATCTGAAGTGAAATCTAGGAGGAACACTGTTGCAGGTTCACTTCCTGCACAATGAGCTGACCTGGACACAATAACATAGTGCATACTCTGTCTAGCATACAGTTGCTATAGATTGTCATATTTGACATCAATATTCCTGCTACATTATAGCTGACACCCCTAATGTTCAAGGACTTGTTCAAGGACATGTTCAAGGATAATATCTTATTCACAAAAGACCAGGGACTTGCTGCACAAAGTGGTCTAAGCCCCAGGGCTGTCATAAGTCGATGTTGAATTATGGAGTTACAATTGCCTTAGCGCTAACATGGCTTCATGAAACAAGACCCTGATAAATTAATTACTTGGTTTACAGACAGACTAAATGTATTGACGGGAAGTAGTCTAGTCAAATCTCTTTAGTACGAAAGTCTGTACTTTACTAAGAAAGTGTTATTCCAAATATAACATTTGTTAAGTTTCTTCTTGTACGTAGTTTTAACTTCAAATCCAAGGCTTGAATAAGGCCAGGCTTTTTATATTTTTAGGATTACGAATTTTTCAGCCCAAAGTCCAGGGTTTGAGGAGGGAAAAAAAAAATGCACCTGTCTTTTTAATGCAGAATGCCTGTGGCATTCATAAATTCATATGTTTTATACTAAAAGGTGATGATAACAAATAAAATAAAAATAACTGACTACGCGGCTATCAGCGGGGAAAAAAAATTGGAAATCTGATTTTTTTTTTTTAAATTCTAAAAAATCAGAGTCTGCGGGTCTGAAATGCGAAAAATATAAAACGCCTGGCCTAAAAGTGGCCTTATCAACTGACTCATTATCAGGAAGTTTCTACTGAATTCCTATCAGTCAATACTACACCACTGTTGTTTCCCTGTACCTTCCCACCAGTCAGAGACCATATACCGGTATATGGTCTCTGCACCAGTCAATCAGGACACATTTCAATTTTGGCCTAAAACATATCTGACACAATGCTAATTAATATAGATCTATCTAGTTGTTACAATCATCCAATGACTTGTGCCAAAAGTGTTACATTAGGAAGTTGAAGTAGGTGGGTCTAGATCGCATTTAACCCCAAACAATTGGAAGAAACAATGTGCAACAAGTGGTAGGTCATCACGTCTTACTGACATGTTAATTGTACTTGACAAAACCTTGTAAGAATAGGACAACACATTTCTTCAGTATGTGACGATTGATTAAAGCTTGTTTCCCTTTAAGTATCTAGAATACACTTCCCAATCATGGTCAAGGATGAGACGATTCCCCTATTCATCAAGTGCGCAACTTTCTGTTTCCTAGCCAGATTAATGATCTTACATCATGGTTCATTAAGAGGCATTATGGGATATCACTGAACCACATGAAAGGGGGCAGTCCAAACATTTCATGTGGAATATAAAATTTAATTCCTTGGGTTTAAGGGATATGAGACTTAAAAGTTTTTCATAGAGACAAGAATAACAGCCCTGATCATAGTTTTAATCTTAAAATGTGCGGAATATTTTAATTTGAATGTCAGAATTTCAACAATTACACCATTAATTTGACCTCAAACGTTTGAACTGCTCCCCAAGTTTCTTTTCCTGATACTTCTACTGCATTTGAACATTTATTTTACTTTTTACTATCACTTCATGGCAATTGTGTTATTTCTGTACTTTTCCTTCAATACTATCTGTAAAACCCAATGCATTTATTTGACTTATTGATATCCTTTGCCAGAGTTGAGATGTAATTTTCTAGCATTCTTCGTGTACTACACACTAACCAGGTAATCAGTGGCCTCATCAGCTGCTACAGCACAAGCCAACATCATCAGTTTAAAAATTGATGCAGTCCTTTAACAATCTATCAATTCATGTAAAATATCTGTCACAAAGTCAATACCAAGAGCACCATTAAAGTTAAAAGATTACACATTTCAAAGTCCCTGCAGAAGCTATCAGTAATTATTCTGCACATGCATTATTAGTTCTATGTCTAGATCACAATTTATATAAACTGGTCTTTCAAACGAAGATTGACCCTTTTGCATTTCACAGAGCAGAAAAGAAAACTTAAAAGTCTGCTTTGCTAAGCAACTCCTGAATTAAACAGAGTAGAAAACTACAAAAACATGATTATACATGGTGAACCTGACAACTGGTCCATCCCGCACACACAGCTATGCTGACATACGATTAAAACATTCTATGTTACCATAACACCAATTTCTCAATTTAAAAAAAACTGTCAACGGATCAAAACCTTGATTTTTGACTTGACGGGCTAATGCAGACCATACTCCCATCCTAAGCTCAAACAATACTTGTTACACAATGCAAATACATATACCACTTAAAAGAAGTTAAGGACCACCTGGTCATTTTGGGACCACCATCCCCATGTCCTTGTACATTTTTTTCTTGACCCTCCCTGAAATGACAAAATGAAAACACTTATTTTATAATAAAATGGCCATTTTTCATAACCCTCCCTAAATATGTGTATTTTGTTTTAAGACCCTTCCCTGGAAACAGTCATATCTTTGGTGACCCTCCCCGATTACCTCTGAGCTACCAGGCCCGGCCCTCAATAGGATGGCCCTTAACTTCCTTTGTGTAGTATATATATAAATATGTGCCTTCCGAACGTTTTTTAAAACAAACTTATATAACATTACCCCTAAAACAATCTGTGAGTGTTTTGGGTCACTTCAAGCAATATTTCCATTCTATGACAGCTAGGGAGCCGAGGAGCTGGGGAGCCGGGGATACAGGGATACAGACTTCATACATGGTACCCATATAGGAGTCAAACCCTGGATTCAACAAGTGAACACTGTAACCACTGTGCTACCCCACTATCCTCTTAAACATCAATGAACACACCCCTCTAATAACAATATGACGAACCCCTCGGAGATCCTACGATGCACCTTGCTACAAGGACCAATCATATTGCAGCATCCCTGTGTGTGGATGAACCTGGTAGTGTATCACAGCCTGTTAGAGCAAATCAACGTCTGTGAGATGTGATAAATACACACCGTCACAGCTAAATCATAAATAATAAACAAAATTAAGAAATGGTGGTGAGCAAAACATCCAATCAAATCTACTGAAAGTGAGCTAACATTGACAATGCTATTACCGTATTCAACGTAATAAGCGCCCCGCTCTAATAAGTGCCCATGGCGATATTTGCTAATATATTGGCTAGTGCACAATCACAATTAGCACCCCTTCTGATTGACCAATGTACACAAGACTTATTTATTCGTGTATTATACGTACTCGTGTGTTATATGTACCCTTAATTATGGGCAATCAAATTCTGGAAAAATATATCTGTCGTATATAAACATTTCAGGGTGTCAGCATAGACCACAAAATTTACGTTCACCATTTACCAAAATAATATTCTAATAAGAGACCCTTATTTCTAATTTTGAGAGTGCCCTTGGCGCTTATTACGTCGAATACGGTAAACAGAATTCAGGGTGGACACCAGAGACGTGGTAATTTCAAACAGAGAATACACATCCATCGCCCCTGACCACAATAGAAGCGCGTGATCTACCACCATGTGAGCAGAAGGGAACTACTTATGGACACACACAGATCTATAATAGGCCAATTCAAATAAAATTCTTGTTTCTCAAAACCAATGAAAATCATCTTTGGCCTGAATGGTTTTTTTAAATATACATGTCAATTAATTTTGTTATAAATAAAAATAGGTTTTGATCCATGAATGCTGAAATATCTCTGTCCATTGAGCTTACAAAACATTTTATATTTCAACTAACTGTATCTTTCAATTATTATATTGATAATCATACGGTCTGTGTCAAAATGTTCTAAGACCAAATTTATCCATCAATCTCTTTAAGCATGTTACTCCTTAGCTGTCAAAGGCTGAGCTTACTAGAATCTTTACTAGAGTCTTTACTAGAGTCTTTACTAGAATCTTTACAAGAATCTTTACTAGAATCTTTACTAGACCAAATCTCTACTGGACCAAATTTATCCATCCGCATCTTTTTCAGCAAATCTTACTCTTTGGCGGTCAAAAGCCAAGCTTACTAGAATCTTCACTCGACTTGGGCTTCTGACTACAGGCTAAAGTCACAGACTTTATTATAAAATTAGAATAACAAACCGACTCACCCACAAGGCAGTGAGAAACAAGGAATTGTTTAGCTGGCCTGACATCACAACACCAGAACACACATATCACATACACGCACACACACACAAGTTTCGACTCCAGCAGTGAAAACAGTCACTGGGTGGGGAGATCCATGACACATTCGACTCCGTGAAGAGTCTTGCTGCTTGTGGAGACTACCATCATTAAATATTTTCTAACCATAACACTTTTTCTGATCCATCATCACAAACTTTTCTTTATTGCAACTTCTTTAGAAGTGCGATTGATCATACTGACCATGTTTTTTATCACAGAGTCCTGATTTCATATGCATTGATAACTCGGACAGCTATTTAGCAAATGCATATAACAGATGCCGACTCATCACCCACTATCATTGCTAGTATCATCCCGTATGAAAGTAGAAAGTGCATCCGATATCCAGTGGCTAGGCAGGCATTCCTCAAGTAGCTTGACATTGATCCGGGCAATGACCTTGACCTTTGGTAATGTCAAGAGTGGATGTCAATATGCTACTGCTGGATGCATGCCTCGTAATTAAGTGATCTATAAGGATAAATGTGCTATCAAGTTCAGTGAAAAATATTTCTAAATTCTAAAAAAGATATTGTGATAAGGAACTTCAGGGACCCGAAGATCAGTCCAAAGATTCCTAAACGTTGTGATCGTTTGCAATAAGGCAATACAAAAGCCTTTTCAGAACCCTTTCGTGGGACTGCTTTAGGAATAGCAATATCGTAAGAGAGAGTGAGTGAGGTTTTACACAATGTTTAGGCAATATTCCACCAAAATGAAAGGAATGGATGTAGACACTGCACTCTTGTGAGGATTCAAACCCTGGTTGCGTTGTGCCAAGAGGACATTTTCACCACCAGACTACTCCCCCACCCATCAACATTTGTAAGACATGTAGTATAATGCATCATTATACAGAATAATACTGAACGCAGGACACTGAAAATGACGACACTACCACAGTTGACGATAATATGCACAGACATGATTATAACATAGATAAATGTACAATTTCTCAGTCTACACTATATACATATAACAGATAATCTTTGAAAAAATAAATCTCAGAAAGTTAGAAATTTCCTTTAGGAGTGCAAGCCAGCAAATACATTATGTTTCCTTTCTCTGGTGGGTCAAGGTTAAAGGTCATATATTTGGAGGGGTCAAGGTCAATAGGCAAAAAGGGTAAGAGGTCAAAGACAAACAAGACACTTTAAAGTTTGGGGAAGAAGGAGCAAAATTCAATACTGACAAGAAAATAGTAAATTTGGAAGATTATTTCTATTCTAATTAATGTCAAAAAGATGCTTTCCGATTAAAGTTATATTGACTGACAATGTGAAAAACAAAACAATTACCTTGGATAATACTAGAATTTGTGGAATAGAGATTTTCTATATGGTTGTAAATACGTTATATGTATTTAACCATTGAACACATATTCAGAGTATTCTGAGCTACTAACTCAAAAACAAAGCAATTCGGTGTAAGAATCCAATTTAAAGTGTGGAGTAGTGGATTGTCTGATGAGCTGATGAGGATGTTCTAGGTAGCGACCATGCTGAACAATGGCACAATAGTCATGCTGAGATCCGAGGACAGGAGTTGTCTCCCTTTGCTTGTTGTTGGGCTACTACAATCCTTCCGGCTTCTCTTTCGTGGTGTCGTATGCCCGGATGTATTCGGCCTGAAACACAGTCATTACTGATTACAACCAAACCCATCTCAGCTCTATTGCAGAATGTCAACTGATGCATATATTCTAAAGTTGTCATTGTTTGGAATACTTGTTGTGATATATATCTGAATCGTAGTGTATATTAATATAGTGCTTCATGATGCCAGAAATTCTACACTATGTTGTGACATTTAACAGACTGTCATTTCTTTGGCATCTTTCAATCACTGAAAGTATGACATCTGATTGGCTAAAAAGACATGCATCCTTCGTTTGATTGGGCGATATCTGTTCAGGGTCTGATGTGAACCCTGGAGGCAGATTTGTCAGCTCTTGATGGTGGGAGCCGGAGGTATTGATTCTGAGGGACAGATTCTGTTTGAGTGAAATCAAATGAGTGAGATGTTTGATCAGTATGTTTGCACCATGTCATTTCAGCTTGATGTGAGAGGAGAGTCTGAAGCAATGCAGGTCTTAGACTTTTACGTTTGAAAAATCAAAACGATAACAACAGTCTCCTTTTTCCATTCAACTTTGGGTAAATGGATCCTTGAAAAGTGAAAAAAGGCGACTGCTTCTATCCACAAAATAGTCTGTTTGCGTTAACTTACCTGTGGCACGACTCCATGCTCTTCCTGTGAGAAGGCGTATCCATCTGAAATAGTCAACAAGTTAACAATCCACTGGTCACAAGACTCACCCACACCCATGTCATTAGTGACGATGATTAAAATAAACTCACAAAAAAAGCAAAAGCAAATATACCACCACTGAAAGGGTTAGTACACAATACTTAAAAACATACCTTATATGCTCAAATAGCAACAAGATAACAAATAACATAAGCTTTATTCATAATTGATTTTTTATCTGAAAAACTAACATCACATATACTACTAAACTTTAGATAGGGATATTCTTTGTGTCCTGATGGGGATAAATCTGACTGGATGTTTGAGGATGTGGGCGTAGGAATAGGATGCTATTTAGACTAGAAGTGATCCCCACTTCGACACTCAGAATATCCCATCAATGTTAAGAAGCATATTTTAGCTGCTTTTCCTAGTTTAGCCACACACTGTAGACCAGCAACTGAGGCGATCTGTAAGAGGATTTTGTTTACCATTTTATAAGACCGTTCCCTGTATTTGTTTGTTTGTTTTGTTTGTTTGTTGTTTAACACCGCACTTGGCAATATTTCAGCTATATGACGGCAGTCTGTAAGTAATTGAGTCTGGACCAGACAATCCAGTGATTGACATCATGAGCATTGATCCACGCAATTGGGATACGATGACATGCATCAACCAAGTCAGCGAACCTGACCACCCGATCCCGTTAGTCACCTCTTACAACAAGCATAGTCGCCTCTATCGGCAAGCATGGGTTGCTGAAGACCTATTCTCACCTGGATCTTCGCGGGTCCTATTCCCTGTATACAAATGAGTATCCTATATACTAAACAAAAAGAGTTAGGGATCATAAATATTTTTATGAAATTGTCTGCTCAGTCTTCACTTGAAAAAAATGTCACCAAAAATCCTCATGATCCCAAAACCTTTCTTGTTCAGTATATATACTACTCAAAAGAAGTTAAGGAACACCCGATTCTTTCACATTACTATAGTTAATCTGTAATGCCATGACAGATTAACTTCTACAATTTGAAAGAACTGGGTGTTCCTTAACATTTTTTGAGTAGTATATAAGATAAGAATGCACTGATATTGATATTGAGTTTGTTCAAGAGCGTGTCCCGAAGATACAAGCTGTACATTGTATTTCTTTACAACATCTACACCATGTGCTCTAAGCCTTCACAAACATGTGCTATGCCCTTTTGCAGGCGAAAAACATATCTATATTCTTCGTTTTTATCCTTTCCATAGCCAAAACAAATTGGAACATAATGATTTTTCATGTTTCAAAACGTTGTATGTTTTTTCAGGTAAACAACCATTCCGGGATTGAAATAATAAAATGATGAAATATTATTTCTCAAAACACAGGACACATTTCCTCCTAGGAGCTCCACTTCTGAACATTTAGTCATTTAGTCATGTTTACAGATGAATATCTTCAGAAGTTCGATATGAAACTAAGGTGGAATTGTGTCATTAGCCCTGGGAAAGCTGCATAAATTGCAGCCTTACAGCTCGTTGATGTGGGATGTTAATAATGATACGTTAGAGAAATCATTACGAAATATACAAATTAGTGAAAAACATATCGAAAACTAGTTACATTTAATCCTGGATTGGCTGCTCTCTTGAAAAAAACATAATGGTGTATTGAAACCAAATGTTCAATATATTCACGTTTAGGTTCTTAACATATTTCTCGTTTCTAATGATGCACCTGCCCCTTAAACTGCCCATGACCACACGTTGTAAGCCCTGTTTAGAAATGTGTCTTCATGATTTGACACAGGCTGCATAACTGACTATCTGTACATGGCATTAAACAGGGATAGCTCCAATGATTTGACATGGACTTGAAACTGTGTGTCTGACTGTCCAAACTGACGGTCCGAACTGACTGTCCAAACTGACTGACCGTCCGAACTGACTGTTCGAAATGACCGTCCGAACAGAGTATCCGAACTGACCGTCCGAACTGACTGTCCGAACAGACCGTCCGAACTGACGGTCCGAACTGACTGTCCGAACTGACTGTCCGAACATGGGACTCAACAATCCATCAAACAGAAAATGGTAAACGCGCAGAGCTGGGACCATGTTAGTGAGAAATGTTGCTTATTGTCTACTTTTTGTCTACTCATTGTCTACTTATTGTAAACTTATTGTTTACTTGTTGTTCTACTGATAATGCTATGCTTGCATGTCCAACAGCGCTGAGCTTAATCTGCCTGCATTATGAAGCACTTGGATAACCTGTATGTACATATAGCAGTATATAACGTCTCCTACACTAGGTGTTAGCCTAGGAGATTCAAACATGGAAGTCGGAAAACAAACCTGTTGTATGACTAGATAGCATCACTTCATTTGTTCCCTTTATTTATTTATTTATTCCCTTTTCATTACAATGTAACATCTTGTTTGATGTTGCCATTCCTTAAAAACCAAACACATTTTGCATTAAAATAAAATATAATCCTGTGCAGGAAAATACCGTTACTGAACCTGGTAGATTTCTAAGTTACAATAATTGTTGTCAGTGCTTCCATATTTAGTGTATTCTAACAGTGTAGGACCGCCTCCATTGTCTAGTGGCAGAGCATCCACGGTTCCATCGCCAGCCCCGTCAAACCGAAATATGTTAAACGATGGTACTTGATGTTATCTTGCCTGGCGCTGGGCAATAAAGGGCTAAAACAAGGACTGGTCAGCTCGGACTCAGTATACTGTGTTCAATAATCTTGACCTTTGACCTCAGCTTACCTCTGACACAACAGTCGCTATCGTTGAATCTGATTTCTATCAGTAATGACCCAGTTGGTCCAGGCCTCATGTGACAATAGGATAGTGATAAGCGAGTCAATGAGTGTGTTATTCAGTTATATCACAGCTCGTCAGCTGGGAGGAAAGCCACAAGTGATTCAGGTCTTTTGATGTTTACCACTTTGGTGAAACCTGCAATCACACGTATGGTGTTGACAAACCTAGAAAAAGGCCAACATATATTTCCAATTATCCATTAGGTTTCTGGCACACCTAAGGGATGACTGGACCAACTGTGCATGCCCCAGAAGATGTATAAGTGTTCAGTCAACTTACAGCGCCCTCTAGGACCCGATGGAACCACGAATAGTACAAGAGTGAGTGAGTGAGTTGGATTTAACACCACTTTTAACAGTATTACAGTTATACAGTGTCAGCTTAATGTGCAGCTTGGGTTCTAGTTACAACACTGTCACACACACTCGACTGCAGTGATGAGCGAGTGAGTGTCATTTTACATATCCTTTAGCAATATTCTAGCAATATGAAGGTGGGGGACACCAGAAAGTGGGGAGTTGAACCCAGTCTTTGGTGTGACAAGCAAACGCTTTAACCACTAGGCTACCCCACCTCCCCTAGTGCAGCGATGACTTGGTATTACACAACTGCCACATGCTGATTTGCATATCACGTGACCAGACTCTTCTCTTGTTTGTAAACAAATGAACTTATTCTGAAATCTGAGAGACTGTTCTAATACAAGCCTTTAAATATTGTATAACAACATATCTGCATACATCTGTGACTGTATCACAAGCTCTGGATAGGGCTTTGATGACTGGAGGTGGAGCTGTACAACCAGTGCAATCAAAGAATAAATATGCAAATGGAAATAGTTTTTTTATGTTTCAGGATATTTTCTCAATGAAAGTTAAAAAAATCGTCAAAAATGAAACAGTTGAAAAACATGAAATATGTTGATTGGACTGGGTGAGATGAGATGAATCGTCAACACCTCGCTGCCGTGTGGCAGAGGTGCTAGGTTGCTTGCATGGAACTCTGGGTAGGAGAGTGCAGTCACACTGAGTGCTGGATCATATCGAGGAGTGTTGCTATAGTAGGGAAGGGGAGACAATCCAGGAACTTCGTCTCAACTCTAGGCATACATGGGGCGAGTTAATGTCAGGCACACATCTAAACTAACAGCTATAACTGAATGTTTCAGACACTGTCATAGTTAATAACTACAAAAGTATTAGGAATTTCAAGCAAATGATGTGAATAACAAAATTATAGGTTAATGGTTACTATTTCAGCTTTTTGTCAGAACATTATGAAATTTATTAGACTGAACCTTGTTAGCGAGACTGTTAAAGACTGTCTTCAAAGCTGATTGTTACATACTGAACCTTGTTAGCGAGACTGTTAAAGACTGTCTTCAAAGCTGATTGTTACATACTGAACTAAGAAAGTAAGGGATCATGAATTTTGGGGGGATATATTTATGAAATTGTATATCAGTCTTCACTACATGGATGGATGGATGGATGGTTTGTTGTTTAACGCCGCACTCAGCAATATTCCAGCTATATGACCGCGATCTGTAAATAATCGAGTCTGGACCAGACAATCCAGTGATTAATATCATGAGCATCGATCCACACAATTGGGATCGATGACATGCATCAACCAAGTCAGCGAGCCTGACCACCTGATCCTGTTAGTCGCCTTTTACGACAAGCATAGTCACATTTTACGGTAAGTATGGGTTGCTGAAGACCTATCCTACCCCGGCGTCTTCATGGGCCTCTTCACTACAAAATATCCCCCAAAATATTCATGACCCCTAACTTATTTTGTCCAGTATAATAACCCTATCCAAGCAATAAGTCTAAGTGAAGAGCTGGAATAAATCCTTGTCCCATAAGAGTCATGCAGGAGTGTCAGTGGGTACATCTCACAAACCATCCTCGTCTGTCCAGTGCATTATTTCTCTGTTCTATTATGATGAACATCTTCGACCCATTCGCCACAATACTTTTGTTTCCGAATTGATGTCACCATCTCTATATATCCTATCTCATAATTTAGCACCTAATTCCCTTGACACAATAGGATCCCAAATATAGACATCCCATTAATTAGTTTGTTTGTTGTTTAACGCCGCACTCAGCAATATTCAAGCTATAAGACCGCGGTCTGTAAATAATCAAGTCTGGACCAGACAATCCAGTGATTGACCTCATGAGCA